TTTTTTTTTTTTTTTTTTTTTTTACTAGTCTTCACGTATAAAAATATAACATATTCAAACAACACAACAAAATCATCAGCAATATTCATTTTGTATTATTTTATTTTATTTTATTTCATTTGTCCTCTTAAACTGTAAAACATTATCCAGTAAAAAGAAATTTTCTCTCCTTGTTAAGTTGATCATTTTAAGAATGCAGACAAATAATTAATAATCCAAAATATCATTAGGATCTATCTCTTATCAATTTATAAATGCTTTAATTAACAACTAATAATGACAATTATAATAATATAATGAACTAAAATCAAAGATATTAAAAAAAAAAAAAAAAGAGAGAAGAAAAATAGGGTTTTAATTATTGGATGCATTCGTTAAAGCTTAACGGCATATCTAGGTGAAATTCAATCAAATTGGTAATTGACGTACGAGCCGCGAATATCCAGCCTATTATTGGATCGTTAAACATTAACGAGTGCCAATGGAGATACTTTATAAAGTACACCCAAAGCACTGTCATGTAAGTTAAGAGCTCGGTATAAAAATGAGGCACAGTTTCACAATCAGGGAACCCTTTTTACCAAATTGTGCTGCTACTACCTCCCAATGAATGTATCCGTATATCAAACATGATAGCATAAAACTATCATTAAACTAAACCATGCATGGATATTAATATGTGTCCTTAAATGTGTTTAAGGAGAATGACCATTTCTTAAACAACTGTCATATTCTTATCGGTAGCAAACAGTCTTAACAACGAGCGTAGACTAATCATGTCGCGATCCATAATCGTGAAGTCCTTGCGTAGGTATACGTCATGTTACGTGCTGGGTGTTAATAGCTCATCATCAGGTGTAGTGTTATACGTAAGTAGCAGCTGTTACGGTTTAACCATTACGGTTGTTTAGCCACTGGTACCATTCACCAGAGCTTCCTTAGGCTTGTTGCTCAACTGCATTCGGGGAGGACGATGTCGAGGATGACCTTTTGAACCTTGAGAACTATTGTTCGCCACAGATACGTCATTTGCAGGCGTTCCTTCCTTACTAGTTATTGTTGACTGGTCACCCGGTCCGGCATTACTGCCTGAACAAATGTAGACTTTAACACTGACTATACTATTATAAATAACGCTAATTAAAATTACTATTATTATTACTATCTTTTTCTATCTCTTTCTTTCTTTCATTTTCCTTGAGAAAAAACCGATCGATCGTCCTAAAAACATTGTGAAATTAATGAAACACAAATATTCATTATTTACCTTTATCACTATTAGTTGGCGTTTGACTTCTCTGTCGAGATCGCCGAGCTCTTCTTCGTCTGATCACTTTTGCACCTCCCTCCACACTCGACACCGATTCTATATATACAAATCATTGTGACCATCTTTAGCAATAAGGTAAAGAACATTTACTCTAATTTATCTAATACATTCAAACAAAAAAAGGATGACGATACAAGAACAAAGCTGCACTCTAACTTGCATAAGTTATTAATTGCATATATAAATATATATATATATATTGATATTAGTAATTATTATTTCATGAATAAAAAATATCAAAAAAGAATTAGTGTTAGATGGTCACAAATGTTTGCACCGCGTTTCATGCTACGTTTCCGAAGTATTACATGATCAATTATGTATGATGAGTATATTCTCTTTAGGACGGAACGATTTTTTCTCATTTTCTCTCACATTTTGTTCACATTTACTCTCACATTTTCTCTCATCTTTCTCTCTTTCATACATGATTTAAAGAACAATTTTACCTCTATCAATGCTTGAAACGTCTTGACTATCAAGAACAGTGTCTTCATCATCCGTCGTTCGACGACGTTCGTCTCTACGATCTCTACGTTGAACCGGTGGGCGACCTTGTCTACCGCCCATGTACCCTGAATTTCCTGCACCACCTTGATGACCACCTCTCGGTGGAAGATCTCGTACACGATCTTCATTACCATCTAAGGTGTCACGACGTGATCCTACAAAAGAAACAAAATTAAAACTATGAAACAATGTAAAAAGAAAATGAACAAAATTATCAAAAAAAACAAAAAACAAAAAAACAAACAAAAAAAAACCTCACACAAAGATCATTTGTATAATCTTATTAAAATAAAAAAAAATAAAAATTGTAATCCCAAATTCAAATTAAAAGTTGTAAATGATCTATAAAAAGAAATAAAACTTATTACTGAACGAAACATACGTTGAATTTTTTTTTTCTTTTTTCTATATTAAATTAACGAATTAACAATTGTAAGACAAAAATCAATTCATTTAATCAATCCTTTTATTAAATTGGATTGTAATAATTAATTTTATGCACAGTATGTTTATGTCCAAGATAAGTTTTATTTAGATATTAGATAAATATGATCATAATACAAAATTAACAAAATTATTCATACTGTGGTTTTATCCTAAATTCGCAACGCGTTTAATTAAACAATTAGATATTTTAAACAAGGCAATGTAACGACAGCATGATTAATACATAAATACATATTATTGTCCGATATTATGATAATACTTTCATATTATTATTTTCAAAAAAATATTTTTCTATTATATAATATTTATATGTATATGAAATAAATTGTAATTGTTAAGTAAATTTATACGTGCCACATCATCGTACATGTGTATAAGTCAGTTTATAATAATGAATCTCTTGAAAGATGTTATAACAAATGTGTGTTCTTAGAGTACAGTCTTATTTGTTATTGATTTTGTAAAAATGGTAAAAATGCTTACTATTATTATATAAATACAGATTTGAAATATTTCTAATTACAACTGCATAAAATGTGCAGAAAGAGAAAGTGAGAAAGAGATGTAATGTATTTGATTTCTAAGAATATGAGAACATGTAAAAATTGAAGAATATAATTCTTCCGTCTATTCAGTTCGTAACAAGTGTAAAAACAATCCAATCAAATAACGAAAAGGTGAAAACAAAGTTTAATATGTTTTGCACTCGTATTTATGACGTTATATAGATCAGTAGGTAAAAAAGTATTAATAAAAATTGAATAATTACATTATGTTACTTATACTAACAGTAAATAGTTACTATAAGGAATAAGAACGTAAGCTAAGTACTACAATAACAAGGATTTCGTTAGAACTTTATCTAGTGATCGAAAACAATTCTACTCTCTAAGATATTATTGCTGTACACAATATATAATTGTCAAAATTACTTCAAAATGTGTAATTAAATCGTAACAATTTTCGTGATATTTCCAAACAATTATCTGATACAAGTGTATAGTTTTCTTTTTTTTTTTTTTTTAATTAAGGAGAGGTCACCAAAATTTCGGTTTATGTTCGTTTTGTTTTGTTCTTTGTTTGTTTTTTGTTTTGTTCAATGTACTAATGAGCAGTCTATGTACAGAAATGTTTTATTCTTAAATTATGCACAAATTGCAATCAATACAAATGTATCTGAAACAAGCAAGTTGGAGGATATCTCAGTTTTTGGGCTGCCATAAAAATATTCAGATTATATGGCAGCTGTTTTGTTAGGTGTCAATGTGTTGCATCAACCGCCATGCGTTTTTTGCAAAATCCATGAGACACGTCCGATTAGTTGTCATATCCGGAAGAAGAGAGATAGCTGTTTTAAATTGATAACTGAATCTTGAATATCACTGATAATCAATTTAAAACAGTCAATCATATCTATTTTATAGCTTAGTATAGTAAAGCCAGTTTATTTTTTTTTTCTTTTTTTTTTTCAGACATCCACATTTCGACTAAGTAGTATTATAGTAATAAAGGTATGCGCTAAGTCTGCACTTCAGCTAGATATCATAAAACATGTATCATTCCCTCTCTCTGGCACATCATACATTGGTATTACTAAGTATACGTTTACTTTCTTTTTAAATCATACGAAACAATGCAGAAATGAACTTCGTATCAAATTCTAATACTTGATATAGCATGCTTATACTGTAGTAAAAAAAAAAAAGCTAAAACCACGTAAAGTAGTGTACTCAGAAATAAAAGTCTAATTCCTTGTGCACACCCGTTTGTGTTTTCCCATATAATCAAAGAAGTCATTTTAGCATTCATCGTGGTATTAATAATCAACACTCAGTATTGAAACATAAAAATCTAGTGTCGTTAACAACTCTATTAATAACCGTAAACCAAGAAGAAAAAGAAAAAAAAACTCAAATCTTGTGAAGTAATAGAAGGAACATCATTGGGAACACCTTAGAACCAGGATTTCTTACAGCTGCCGCCCACCATCATCGTAAATTTAACAACGAAATCCACTTTTCCTTGTATCTCATTAAATTTCATCCCAGTTATGACGCTAAGCAACTTAATCAGTGGTACAAATTCATACGTTAAATATCATTACGGGTTCTATCCGTAAAAATAAATGAATCGTTTACTAAGATGTAGATACGAAGGACAAAAAAGATTCTTTCTTTCTTTCTTTCTTTTTTCTTTTTCTTTCTTTTTTTTTTTTTTTTCATTCATGGCAGTTTTACAGTTCAGAAGAATATTTCTCAGCAAACTGTATATAATATGAAAATATTTTCTAATTACTATGATTAACAATTTTACACTTCTATTATTATTTTTTCGTTGAATTAGTATACTTTTTTTTGTTTTTTGTTTTTTTTGGTTTTTTTTTGGTTCTATATTTTTAAGACGTCTAAAAAATAAAGTGTAATAATATTTAAATGATTCGTTAGAATTTAATTGTGCTAATATAAAAGAATAATATAAACTTGTTACAATCAACTATGCGTAACTTTAAAAATGAATATTTGACGAACAGTTTGAATATTATATTGTCACAAACAATTAAATTCATTTTCAATTCGTTTTTTTTTTTTTTTTTTTTTTAATTAAGGAGAGGT